AACATAATTATGCAAACAACAACTTAGCACACAAGTTGTTTATTAGGAAAGCGCATGGATTCTCCCCTGACTTGGTCTGTGCCCAATAGGAGCAACAAGGGTGGGTCTGTGACAGGTATGATTCTTGTTTTTAAAAACCCCAAATCTGTTCCTGCAAATGGCAAAGCTAGGTCATGAATTGAGTGGTGCAGGCAGATCTGAAGGGATACTGGCTACGGCAGCAGCACTTCCTGAAGCCCGTCCTCTGTTTTTTCTCTATTTTCATTTTTTTCCCTTGCTGCCAAGAGATAGCTGAAAGCAGCTTCCTAAGGCAGCCACAAGGAAGGGAGGGAGTGAAGGACTCTAAAAGGCAATGGGCACATTCCTCTTTTGATTCTTTCTTAAAAGAGCAACTCAGGGAGCCTACTCTCCTCTACACTTTCCATCTTTTCTCTTCCTCCCACTTTACCAAATCCAAAATAAGTGATGCTGCAGCCACAATAAACACTCTTTTAGAGGCTCCTCCTGTGTCCCACCTTTGTTTCATAAATAGATATCATTAAATGCGACTGGGTTGTTTTTCTTCACTGTGCTGCCCTTGTCTGCCTCCATTTCTGTAGAGTTCCATATACAGTACTGTGGATTTCTTCTTGCCTATATAACTGTTCTTCTTGTCTATATAACTGTTCTAGGTATTTCCTGGAGGATAACTACCGATGGGAAGGATGTTGGACCCCTAAGTATCATTTTGGCTCAGGTCAACCTATTTTTAGATGCAAAAGAAGGAGGGGTTCTTGGTTACAGTGAGAGTCTGGAGCAACTGCGACCTGTCTCTTCTACCCTGTTCTACTTCCCAGGTGTGTTGTGTGAATGAAATAGAACACAAGAGAGTTAGGCACACTGCTCTGAGCTTTTTGGAGAAATGGTGGGATTAGAATGAATTGAATTAAATCAATCAATAAAAACCTGACTTCCCACAAGATGTTGTGAAGAAAGCAGTACATGTGTATTTTCCCTTCTTTTTCCATACCCCTTTCCTGTTGCCACGTCCATAGAATTCAAGAAGGGTTTCCAAAGCAGATCATTTTTGGTTTGACTTAAACTCACAAAAGAACCTGGGGTCACCAAGCTGATGCTGGACTATAACTCACATCAGACCTAGACCATGGTGTTTTTGGTTTGACTTAAACTCACAAACAAACCTGGGGTCACCAAGCTGATGCTATAACTCACATCAGACCTAGACCATGGTGATTGGGTACAAATCTATTAATATTTCGTAACATCTTTGCCCAACCTGGAATCCTCCAGATACAATTCCTACTATTTGCTATGCTCGCTGAGGATAATGGGAGGTAGAGTCCAATGTACTGTATCTGGAAGGGCTATAGGTTCCCCATAAGAGTCTCCAAAAGAATTTCTTCTGCAGGATAGGCATAGCTGTGTGGTGGTATGTTAGCATAATCTGCATGCATAGCACACACCATTAGAATGTGGAGGGTCTGTCTCTGCACATTGAAATAATAAATAATTTTAAGATGCTGTGAGGCCAAACACACCCTTGCCCTTCCCCAACACTGATGGTTCCCATCTCAGCTTTAGATGTCAAGACAGGCCTAGGTTGTAGAGGCTGGGAAGCAGACAGCCAAGACAAATTGTTTGCATTCAAGCCTTCAGTTTTCTATACTATGCTCCCAGTACTGTTCTTATACTGTACTTTTAGAACAGTGGTCCCCAACCTTGGGCCTCCAGATAGACTACATCTCCCAGGAGATTTCACCACCATCTCTGCTGGCCAGGATTTCTGGGTGCTTAAGTCCAAGAATATCTGGAGGCCCAAGGTTGGGAACCACTGCTTTAGAAGCAGAACAGCAAATGTGAGGACAGTTGTTCAGTGTTCTCTGAAATAGAGACTTATTTTGGAATCCATGCACTCAGCTGAGGGGTTTCTAGGAACAGAAACTATGATATTATAAGCCCCCTCTTCTGCTCTAGATTGGCAGCATCCATCCCACCTGGGAACTGAGGATGATGAATGAGAGTAACCATCATCAACGGGAAAGTGTGAGTAGGGGACGCCGTGGAGTTGGGCTGAAGAAAGGTGAGTGTATGTCGGGGGGGGGGCTTGACCATGTAGGGCCTGTGAAGTGGGAGAGGTGTCTTCCCATAATGCAGTGGTTCCCAGCCTCAGGTCCTCAGATGTTCTTAGGTGACAACTCTCAGAAATCCTGGCCAGCACAGCTAGTGGTGAAGGCTTCTGAGAGTTTTAGTCCAAGAACATCCGGGGACCCCAGGTTGGGAACGACTGCCGTAAAGGATTGGATCCGTATGTACTTCAATGAATTTCTCCTCTGCTGAAATTTGTGTGAAGAGTTTGTAACAGTTTGGCTCCCACTGAAATCCACAGGGCCTAAGAGGGTAGGGATGGGACGTATCTACAGTTTAATGTGGATCCAAATCAAGTCTCTCTTTTTGAAATAGCAGCTTTCTCCTATGAAAAGAAACTTACTGGGAGAAAATATAAAAATGTAATGGCAGACATGTTTAGATATAACAGTCTATAAAATCAAGGCAAAGTATTTTCTGGACAAGGATTTTAGCTCAGAGCTAAAGAAAAGCAGCAATTCTAGTAAGCATAATTTGAGAAGTGTTTGCAGGGGGAAAACACCACTTACAGCTCTTAGTTACGCTATTACTCTTATCTTTCTTCTCCTTCCCACCTGACCGTCAACCTTTATGTTTACAGTAAAAGAAAACAATGAAGTGTGTGAAGGATCAATACCTTTGGATGAGCCACTGCAGATGGAGTCAAAGACACAAACTCAGCAACAGCTATATTATGGCCTGAGCTCTCCACAGAATTTTGATGGTGAGAAGAAACATCCCCTAGCTGCACATCATTTTAATATGTACTGGATCACCTCAGTCAGAAGTGAGGAACCTTTGGTCTTCCAGGGGGTATGAACTACAGCTCCCAAAATCCCTTGCAATTTTCCTTGCTTGTGGTAGTTTCTGGGAATGGCAGCCAAAAACATCTAGAGGACTAATGGTTTGCTACCCTGTTATAAGTGAATAGGATCTAGGTGATCCCTTGTGTCCTGCCATAGGATGAACATGCACTTGCTCTTGTTTCCCTGATGGTGCTGGTTCCAGAAACTGATGCTATTATTGGAGAGATTACAATAGAAAATGGTTTTGGAAGAGCATAGATTCGTATAATACATTTTTCTTTATGGTCATTGCAAAAGGGAGCAAGCACACACAATGTCCCAGATAGAGCTTGGAGAAATTACTTTTTTGACCACTTTTTTGATTACCACTCTAAGGAATCCTGCAGCCGTACTCCCCCAAACCCATCTGAAGCTCCCAGCCACTGCCAGTTACAGTAAAATTATTGACTTAGAACAGTGCTTCCCAACCTTGAGCCTCCAAATATTCCTTCACTGCAACTCCCAGAACAGCTGGGAGCAGCTGGGAACAACTGGCCAGGACAGCTAGGGTTGAAGGCTTCAGAGAGTTTTAGTCCAAGAAGCCCAAATATTCCTTGACTGCAACTCCCAGAAATCCTGGCCAGGACAGCTAGTGTTGAAGGCTTCTGAGAGTTTTAGTCCAAGAACATCTGGGGGCCCAAGGTTGGGAACCATTGATCTAAAAGGACAGGTAATCTGGACTGCTATAGGGTGCCCTGCATTTATGACCGCTGCATCTAGAAATGCCCAGGAGATAATTGCTTGTCAGCTGGCTCTGTGAATTTGATCTAGGACAAAGTGGGCCAGTTGTGCCCCTCCAGATGTTGCTGGACTATAATTCACATTGTCCCTTGCACTCAGCTAGGCTACCCAGGGCTTTTTAAAGTAATCATCCAACAATATCTAGAAGGCCAGAAATTGCCTATTGCTGCACCAAGAATTCTCCATTTCCACAGAATATGGAGGGCTGCATTTTGGAAGTTGGAAAATACAGTTTTCGGTGGCAGTTGTGAGGCGAGATGGAGAAGACTGCATAAATGCACATTTTCCTTGTTAGTTTTGACCCCTGCTGTAGAATTTATTGGTGGTGTTCATCCAGTTCTATATTCTGAATTACTGAACAAGATATTTAAACCAAATGGAAGTGATTTAGTAAAAACCCTTGAGAATGTTTGGTGGGGAGATCAGAGAAGAAATCTATGCCATGTTGATTAGCTTCCGCTCAAAATGAATGTGTGAACTTGCCCTTAATTACAGAAACTGGTAAACAGGAAGGGTAAAACCCTTCATTGTGTGTGGCATGGCCCTTGGGGAACCTTGCTAGAAAATTTGGGGGCTTGGGCTTGGGATCCAGGAATGAAGAGAACTGGAAAAGATGGTGACCCTGAAAGCGCATGTGTTCCCTGGGATATAACTTATGTTTCCTCTCTTGCTAAATCTCAGAGACTCCAGAGATGCCAGCTCCCTCCTTGACCCTGGTAGCCAATATGAGGACCCAGCTACATATGGCCTTAGAGAGGAACTCCTGGTTGCAGAAGAGAATCGAGGATCTAGAAGAAGAACGGGATTTCTTGCGCTGCCAACTAGACAAGTTCATCTCATCGGCTCGTTTGGATGCTGGTAAGAGGAGCATCCTTGACTTCTTGGGAAACTGAGTGTATGGTTGTATTCCTTTAGACTAAGACCTTCGGTGTTATTTGGAAAGAAGAATACAGTGGTGCCCCGCATAGCGAGGTTAATCCATTCCGGATTAACCTTCGCTATGGGGAAACATCGTTAAGTGGGACGGGGAAACCCAATGGGCCCAAAACTCACCGGTCTCCGATGTTTCCCCATGTTGCGGCAGCCATTTTGGGTGTCCCAGCGGCCATTTTGGGTGTCCCGGTGGCCATTTTGGGTCTCCCAGTGGCCATCTTTAGTGTTCCAGCAGCCATTTTTAGTGTTCCAGTGGCCATTTTGGGTGTCCGGTGGCCATTTTGGAACCGCTGAACAGCTGTTCCCCCATCGCAATGCGAGGATGCCCTCACATTAGCAATGGGGAAATCCGCATCGGTATGCGGATTCTTCGTTAAACGGTGCACTCATTATGCGAGGCACCACTGTATAATAGAGAAGAAGGTGGGGGAATGACAACCTTGGTTCTCATAGGAGAAAGAAGGGAGCAGAATGTTGGGTTTTAAAGAGGAGAATCTAAATGAGTTGGAATGAAGAAGAGACTGGCTTGTCTGAGGCAGATTTTTGGACTAAAATGTGTAGAATCTCCTAGAATTTTGGGTATAAGCCTAGAAGCATTGACCGAGAGGTCTGGGAATAGCAGTAAAGCCAAAAGTGTAAGACCTCAAAGGTCTGGTCTGGAAGAAGAAAGTTAGGGTTATCCAGGGCTGGACAATCTGTAGTCCTGTAGAACTGGGTCTGGCTTCCAACTCTCATCATCTGTGATCATTTGCTATGATAAACAGGATCTGACAGGAGTTGCATTCAATACCATGTGAAAGGTCACTGATTGCTGTTGGCAATCTTGAGTTCTTTCATTATGGGCTGATGAACCTTACAGGAAAGCTCACTGTACCAGTTAGGGCTCTCTCCAGCTGATGCGACCCACTTTGTCCCTTCCATCTTAGACGATCATTGTCGCAACAAGCAGGCCTCACGGCGATCTGAAGTGTCTGACGGCCGGAATGGGGACATGACAGATGATGACAGCAGAGGATCCTGGCTCAGTGCCAGTCCTGAGGAAGGCGGCTCCACAGAACACAAGAAGCAGAAAGGAGGTGTCAATCGGCGACGTTTTGCCAAACCTAAAGTCCGTGAGAGGCAAAGAGGTGAGTGGCAAGGACAGAATTGGTCCACAGTTTTCAACACAGCAGTCACTATACTCTGTTTTCTTGAAAATAAGACAGGATCTTATATTAATTTTTGCTCCAAAAACGCATTAGGGTTTATTTTCAAGAGATGTTTTATTTTATAGTCGTGTGATCTTCTTCTGGTTCCTGCACAATGGTGGAGGAACTGGAGCTTTTTGGGGTAGGGCTTATATTACAAGCATCCTGAAAAATCATACTAGGGCTTATTTTCAGGTTAGGTCTTATTTTCAGGGAAACAAGGTAGTGGCAAAAAAGGTGGATCTTAAACTCATCTCTTTTGAACAGAGATTATAAATAATATGTTAGATATTGTACTATTTTAATGAGTCCACCCAGGTTTGCATGAGCTGAAATAGCCCTTGGTTTGATAAATCGGTGTTTCTTCTAGCAAAGTTTAGTAGCTGTCATAGTTGGACACTTTGTGCCCATTATTTATTTATTTATTTATTTGATTTTTACCCCGCCCCTCTAGACCATGTCTACTTGGGGCGGCTTACAAAATAAAACAAAACAGTATAAAAATATATAAAATCATAAAATCACAACTACAATTTTAATTTAAAGAGAGGATTACCAAGATGGAATAGCAAAGAAAATATATCTGAGTAATGGCTGCCATGCTACACCTGCACACTTTCCACTGGCCTGCCATTCCATCCTGAGGAAGGAAGGCTGGCATATAGCAGGGGAGGGGCATTCCTACAACACTATCCTTTGTATTACTTCCCAGTGGCTTCTAACAGGAACTACTGCAAATCTATGTTATGGTTATGGAAGCCTGCCACCTACTGACAGAAGTTAGAACTAGAGGTTTCAAACGACCAGACATATATGAATTAATTCATTTCAATTAATTAAAATATTTTTAAAACAGTCCTTCCGTACACATCCTTGGAATTTACTTGATAGGCACATCACATTCAAAATGTCCACTTTTTATGATCTTGGTACATATTTTATTGATATAGATCTAAATTTTAAAACAATGTACTTCCATATAGAAAAGAAATGCTGTACCAGTTCACAACTATTACACTTGTAATTTCAGTCTTTATTAAAACAATATCCACCTCTACAACAATTCTTCACAATATTCATTTCATGGCTGTATCAATCAAGTTAATTGGTACATTTTGCCTACACATAAAGATTTGTCGCTTCCGAAATAGCAGATCCACTTCTTTACCATCCAAACATGTTTTTTCTGCTTTGTATTGTAGTGTTTAATCCAGCTTCAATAAGAGAGAGAACCTTTATTGGAAAAATTGTTTTTAACCTGAGTCAGTTTTTAAAGAGAAGTACAGTAATTAATATTTGTTATCTTGGCTATTTTATTTTCTTCCAATCTATTTAAAACACATTACGCTTTATAAAATAAAATAAAAATATAACAAGGAATATTTAACAAGGAATATTTTGTTTATTAAAAACGGCTTAAGCCATTCTGTAGGAAAATCTTGCAGAATGGTTTATGCAAGATGGGTAAAGAACCAGGGAGTTGCTGCCTTCAGGTTTAGAATGTAAGACACAGTGCAAAAGGCCCATGGAGATGGAAATGTGAGGAAGGTTTTCCTTTTTCTTGTTCTCCATAGCAAAAAAAACTACAGTATTCTGTTCTCCAACATTGGCAAACGGTGCAACTGTCTGACCAAATATATACATATGGACTTCATTGGTTTAATATTTTCTGTCTCTAAAGTCAGTGGGAGTTCCAAGATCTGAAATTTTCCTCAAGAATACCGCTAGAGGAAATGGACTGGGGCATGAAATCTCAAAAACTTGGAAGGTTTCTCTTCCTCACATTTTCAAAAAGATGGCAGAGCTTTCCTTTATTTTTAATTTTTTTTAAACTGAAAAATGGAAGTAGGGAGAAGCATCCTGAGTCTGAAAAACAGGCCTTTAAACAGTTCTCTCCTGACAAACGTATTAAATCTTACCAGAGCTTAGGGAAAGTTACTCTTTGGGAATGTAGCTATTGGAATTCTGGGAATTGTAGTCCCAAAGAGTAGCTGTCCCAAATCCTGAATCTTGGTAAACTGCTGAACAAAATTATTCTTTTTTCCCCTTCCTTTTCTTTCTTGATTCATTATCACATTTTTCTTTGTAACCCTATTTCTGTGTTCTGACCATTCACCATTCTCATTACACGTCTCTTAAATGCCTTCGCTTTTCTCCTCCACCCTTTCTTGTTCCCATTTCCGATAATTTCTGTTTTCAACTTAAACATTCCCTGATTGTTTTAACTTCTCCTTCTCCTGTTATTGATTTTTCTCATTTCTTCTCTTGGTCATGGATTATTTTCTCCCTTCCTCCATTCTTATGCTGCTAATATACGTATCATGTTATTGACGGCTTTCCAACTCTGGGGGCTCTCTGAATGTGTCACTTTTTATTTCTGTTGGTCCTTTATCTTTCATGTGGCTTCTTTGCCCTTCATCATGACTTCTGGGTATTCATGAGCCTTCGGGGTGCCTCCATTCTGCCTCCCACTTTGTTCCTCAAACCATGGTTTTGCTCTCTTTCCCATGCTCCTTGGTTCATGGGTCATCTCGCTGGGGCCATTCTGTGCCTGAACCTGAACCCGCCACACAGTGAAAGATGTGGATGGGGTGTTGTGCCGCTACAAGAAGATCCTATACACTTTCCAGAAGCTGCAGAGCATGAGTCGGGCCTTCGAGTACCACCGTGTGGACCGGAACACCGTGGCCCTGACCACACCCATCGCTGAGCTCCTCATCGTGGCTCCTGAAAAGATGGCTGAGGTGGGCGAATTCGACCCTTCTAAGGAACGCTTGCTGGAGTATTCCCGCCGGTGCTTCATGGCACTGGATGATGAAACACTCAAGAAGGTTCAGGCCCTCAAAAAGAGCAAACTTCTCCTGCCCATCACGTACCGCTTCAAGCGGAAAACAGACTCCCCCAGCCCTGCTGCCAGCAACCCTCTCCCCTCACCTGGGAAGCCGCTTTTACCCATTGCTGATTGCTACAAGTGATGGTTTCCTCTTTTTTCCCCCCTGTGGCAGGAGTCCACTTTGCCAGGCCTTTCACCTCCATCCCTTATCCAGACCCACCAAGCGCTTGCTGTTGTTTCCCCAGGACTCTTGTGTTTTCTTGTCAGCCACCTCCCATCTTTCCCTCTATTTCAAATGCAAAATGAAGACCTAACTTCGCAGGCAAGGCTGGCTCACCTCTGAGGCAGGTGTTTTGTTTTGCTTTTTAAACCTGGAGAGTCAACTCAGACTGGATGGATGCTCCCATGGAAGCTTCAATTTATAAAGACTAAGCACCGAGTGTGGATCTCAGTTCATTTGCTTCTGAGAAAGTGACAGAGCCAGCCGGCTTCTGAGCTGGCCAGATGATGAGAGTAGAGACAGGGAGTTAGTAGGGCAAAAGATTGACATATGTATCTATCAGGTACAGTGGTGGATAGATTATTTGAAGATGGCTGCAATAGGTCAACACTGGTAAGATTGTCAGCTTGTTCTTGGGTAGTATTCATGGCAACCTAGAAGATGAGTGGCTGGCTCACTATACAGCCTTACCACATATTGCTAGGGACAGCAACTACCTGAAAGGACAAAAGGGGGTGTGTGTGAGGGGAAAAATAAAATTGAACAAAAAATGTTTTTACTTCATTCATCCTGAGAGCATTTTTATTTGCCACAGACAGGTGTATGTTTGCAATCTTATTTCAAAAAGGTCAGAGTTTTGGCAGTGGCCACATGTTCTGCCTTGCGGCTCAGAAAGGCTTTGTCTTCATCTGGAGGTAACAGCTGTCTTGTTTGCAGACAGAGGATTCATCCAGTGCACATGCCAACTGACCAGAAGTGAGAGGGATACCAAGTTTCCAAGTGGCTGCAGTACAGTATTTTTGTGCAAATCGCCAGATTTTTGGCCATATTCTTTCTACTTTCTGAGCATTTAGCTGAGGGAAAGGCAATGGTGGGTCTCCAAACGCTGATGGACTGAAAAGTTCCACGAACACTCCTATGATGAGAATTGCAATCTGACATTTGAAGTGTCTCCAGCACTTCTTTAGCTAATGATACTGGTATTGTATCAATATTCTATCTGCTGCCTTTTCACTACATTCTTTCCACATTTGAAGGAATTAATTGTGGTGTTCAGAGGCTACCAAACATTGTCCTTTTGTCTCCAAAGATTTTCTCACATTCCATGCTTCCACCACATCTCTTATTTTGTGGTTGTTTCTGGAGGCATCCATCGACACTGCTGCCCCTTTCTTATCTACCTATTGCTCCACACCCCTAAACTGGGCTCAAATGATTTTATATCATTTTTATTATTTTTGTTCCTCCAAGACTATGTGTGTGGTTGAGTCTGAGAGTGGTACAAGCACACATGCTTCTACATTGGCCTTCCTCAAAGGAATCAAAGATTTTCTCACATTCCATGCTTCCACCACATCTCTTATTTTGTGGTTGTTTCTGGAGGCATCCATCGACACCGCTGCCCCTTATCTACCTATTGCTCCACACCCCTAAACTGGGCTCAAATGATTTTATATCATTTTTATTATTTTTGTTCCTCCAAGACTATGTGTGTGGTTGAGTCTGAGAGTGGTACATGCACACATGCTTCTACATTGGCCTTCCTCAAAGGAATGTCCTCTAAGATGTTTTGAACTACAAATCTCAACGTCCATGTAGCCAGCATGGCTAATATTGGGGATTGTATGGAGGGTATCAACTGGCAGGGGGGCTCCCCTACATCTTTGTGGATTCAGGGTGCCACTGTATGTGTGAAGGGGGGAAAAGAGAGAGAGAGCATGTGCAAGGATTTCAATAATTGGTCCCTGTTCCCTGGGGGTGCCTTCTTTTTATTCAGTGTAATTAACTGATTGTTTATGTAATTTCTCTCCTAGTCTTCTTCCCCCCTCTCTATTGAAAAAGAATTTAAAAAAATTTAAAAATTAAAATCAATTTACTAAGATGATTTAAATTAAACAAAGTGTTCCGAATAAAACATAGTAGTACGTGTGTGTATATATAAATATATATATTTATTTATTTAAAAGGTTGGCTTTTTTTACCCAGTGGTAAAGTTGGTAAATGCCTGGTGAAATATTGGGTTAGGGAGGGCGGCATTTAAATCCTCAGCCAAGTATATATTCCATGAGTTAAGCTAGATCTTATTCAGTCTCAGTTCTATTTTTGTAAAATTAGACTGTTATGACCAGGTGTCACATTTCACTTGTGAGGTTAAACAACAGTTCTTGTGAAAAGCACAGTACAGTGGTGCCTCACTAGACAGTTACCCTGCATGACAGTTTTTTCGCTAGACATTGGCTTTTTGCGATCGCTATAGCAATTCGCAGAACAGTGATTCCTATGGGGGAATTTTGCTGGACAGTGTTTGGCCCCTGCTTCGCAAACCAATTTTCACTAGACGACGATTTTGACAGCTCCCTCCGCGCTCGCAAACAGATGTTTTCAGGACCTAAGCTTCGCAAGACAGTGATTTAAACAGCTGACTGGCGGTTTGCAAAGCGGCTTTCCTATGGCCGATCTTCGCTAGACAACGACGATTCTTCCCCATTAGAACGCATTAAACAGGCTTCAATGCATTCCAATGGGGAAATGCTTTTCGCTAGACAATGATTTCGCTAAACAGCGATTTCAGTGGAATGAATTATCATCGTCTAGCGAGGCACCACTGTATAATGTGTCAAGTTGGAACCAACCCTAATAGGGCTTTTAAGGTAAGAGATATTTTAAAGAGTGTTTTTACCAGTTCCACACCTCCAATGAGTTTCCATAGCTGAGCAGAGATTCAAACCCATGCTTCCCGAGTTCTAGTCCATCACTCTATCCACTACACCACACTGGGTATCTTATAAAGATGATACAAATGTTAAATTAGATATTAGAATGGAAAGTTAAAAGATTACTACTATTGGTGAACAAATACTGTATGGAAGCATTTGAATTAAATGAGATAAAGGTACAAATATTGCAAATAACTGTAAATTCATTAGGAAAATTTTCAAAAGTGACAGTAAGCAAAAACAAGAACAAAGAGATTGTAGTGCACTTAAGACTAATGTGCATTTCAGTAGGAGCCTTTGTGGATTATAAACCACTTTACATGGAGCATACAGTATTTAGATAACAGGTTTATATACAGTGTACAGGACTAAGGAGGTTGGAACCAAGTGACGTAAGACAATGACTTTTAAAAATGGCAATAACATCACACACAATTGCCTAGCAATATCTAATTAGCTAATGTGAATTGTCTTGGAACCTGATACACAGAGAAGAAATAAAAAAATACAAAAACGTAGTGGCACTTTAAAGACTGTTATAGCTCAATGTGTGCTTTGATAGACCTGTCTGCAAAAGCTCACATTAAAATATAACAGTCTTTAGGGTGCTACGTTTTTGTCTTTATTTGTTCTTTTATTATTTTTTGTTTTTACCTATAATACATGCACAGACTAACATGGCTACCTCTTTTATTGGTATAGAATTGTTAGTCTGTCTTTGAAGTCTTGATGCAAAGCCTTTTACTTTCAGAGACTAGTTGTGTTGTGCTCAGGCAATTGTTTAGCCACAGAAAACATACTGTACTTTTATTTTTGTAAAACCCCGTGAGCACTGTCTAGAAGTGGGAAGGTGGATGTAAGTACATAACAGTAATTTTGCTTATGTTTTAGTGAACTTATTAATAGTGCCCCCCCTAATCTCCATTCAAACATCTATTGAAACTTCAACGTTTTGCACACTTATGGAAAAGTAGGCAAAACTGATGCATGAACCAGTAAATGGAAGAGCACAAGAGAGGTTGTCTCTCATCAGCCTGTCTTGTGCTTTGTTTGGGCCCGTAATTGCTTGAGCCAATTTTTCCTCAGCATCCCTTTCAAAAATCCAGACATTAGGAAAGCCTTATAAAAGAAAGCAAATTAATAACATAAAAATTTGAACGCTGCTCTTGGGAGGATCAAAACCAAAATGAACCGGTCTCCAAAACGGTAACCATGTTACTCTGTAATGGGCTGCGACAAAAATCAAAGAAGCACATGTCTTCTTAAAGAGCAACTAGCTTTATTTAACATAAACTTTCGTGGATGCAGTCCGAGAAATCTAATGCCAAATGAAACTGTTGGCTGCAACTACAAAGGACACTAGATTTTCAAACCAATTTTCTATCCCCTTTTACGTCGCATCCTTCGTACACTGATGATCGGTTTAATTTGCGTCCATTTTTCAAACACATAATAAATAACTTATTTTCTCTTCCGGAAAGAACGTGGATGCCGTATGGACTACGTGTATGGATTCTGCTAGAAAGCCGAAGAACGTCCGGCGGAAATATCCAAAAGTCCCGGAAGTAACCCGGAAAGATTCGATCAAATTTTACTATTAATGCCAGTAAAAGCGGGAGTACGAGGGAAGAAGCGGAGTGCTCGCCGTGCTTTGAGCTAGAACGGAGGAAGTGACGTCAACGGAAGTACCCGAACCTTTCCGGAAAAACCCGAAGACTTCCTTACAGGGGCAGGCGTTCAAAAGAAAAAAAAAATGTAAGGGAAGAGAATTGTCTTAGAGGTCGAAGGGGCGGAGTAGACAACCCGAACGCCTTGGGAAGGAGGGGTCTTCCGGAAATTGCCGAGCGCTTCCGCGAAGAGCCGAAGTTGCCGCCGGAAGTTGCCGAACTCAAGGAAAGGCGCCGTCGCGGCCTAGTGCGTGAGCAGAAGCTGGTTCGCGAAGAGCCGCCGTAACAGTGCCGAGGTCAGAGACGGGCCGCCCTCCGTCCTTTCACCATGTCCGACTTCGACGAATTCGAGCGGCAGCTCAACGAGAACAAACAGGGTGAGTGAGCGGGCAAGGGAGGCGGAGGGGCGGGAAAGGAAGAGGCTCTGCGCCCGCCACCGCGCGCTCCTGAGGGGCGCCGTGGACCGAGGCGCCGTCGTCGCCGCCTGGCTCTCGGGAAACGTCCTCCTGCGCCCGTCAGCTTCTCCCTTTCCCTCCACCCACACCCCCCCCCGGCTGGCCTTTTCTATTTAGTTTGGCGGGAGCGTGAGGTAGAACATGGGGGGAGGGTGTGCGGGGGAAGCGGAGCCGTTGGTCCTTCTGGGCGCGCGCCTTTAACGGACGAGTTATGGGGGAGGGGAGAGACCGGGCAGGCAAGGAGGTCTCCTTCTCACGTACACCCTTTAAAGAAAATAATAAAGATCGCTTTGGGCATCGCCTAGCAGCACCTTTCGTCTCCTAGAATCTCTCCCCCCCCCAAAAAAAAAGATGACGGGGGAGGAGGGACGGGAAAGAAAACTTTGAAGTGGTCGCAATTCGTCCGCTATTCAACTCCTGGGGAGGATAAGGCTCTTTTAGTGTTCTCGCTTGTTTGCTTCCTTTTTTTTTCTCCCGCCCCCTCACCCACCCCCCAATTGGCTTTGCTGGGTTATTAGGCGCTGGGGACTCACTCGGGTCTGAGGAGGCACGTGGTGCAAATCCCTTGTTCCTGAAGCGAAGCAGGTCAGCGCCTGCACGAGCGGCTGCTCGCCTTGGGTTGTAGTTCCCCCACGAGGTATGGGGGTGGGGGGCACAATAAGAAACATAACTGACGGGGAGGGGTTTTGTTTCCGTACGGTCTGCACAGAGGTCCACGGTGGGAAAGAAGGGGTTTATAAGTGTGACGAAAGGGGGCGGCGGCCTCGGCCTCTTTTTTGATACTTAAAAGGCGTCTGTTGTAATCTCGTGTGCTGTCTCTGCTAATTGGTAGAGATTCCCAACAGTTCAAAAGGGTGGTGCTTCTCAACTCGACTGAAAAGGTCAGAGATTGAGATCTTCAGAGTGTAAAAAGGGTGGACGCTACCGAAGGGGTTTATAAGTGTGACGAAAGGGGGCGGCGGCCTC